TAACTCGGCTAGAGCGGGAAGGGGGAACGGCTAGCCGGCGGCTCACGGCGACGGCTCACGGCGTACGGCGACGGCACGGCGGTGGCGGCTTGCTCCGGCGATGATCAGCGATCCAAGGCCGAGAGAGAGAGGAGAGGATTTTCGGTGAGTGAGAGAGGGAGAGAGTTCTCGGTTGGGGGGGCTGCCGTGAGAAGAGAGAAAATGAGGAGAGAGAGAGAGAGTGGTCTTGACTTAAATAATCAAACTTTGACCAAACTTTCCAAATTCCAATTTTGCCCCTCCTTACTTGGCCAAGATTAATCCAAACCAAAATATCTAAGGGCGTTTTGGTCCAATCTTTTGGGGCTGATATTTATCCACAATTAATCCCCAAATTTAATTTCCAAAATCCCCAAAATTCGGAATACCCAAAAATAGGCCTAGGGGCAAAATCGTAATTTTCCGGTCCCGGGCCGAATTTCCATTTTTCGACCATACCGACCCCAAATATGAGTGGCCAATATAATATGACGTCGGATTCTCAAAAATAGCCTCTTAAACCCTCGAAAATCGACCTCGAAGTCCGGGCCCAATTACGCGATCAAAACTTGCTCAATTTCAATTTTCCGTGTCTCTTACTAACGGGCGACTATTTAGGGGTTACGCGTATCGACTTAGGTTATCCGAGTCATCACGGCCTCAATTATCGGGAGAACGAGAGGAATTACCGCTAGTTCCTGAGGTTACGATCGTTTGGTTCAAGTTCAGGATCGGTTGGCCACGCAAACTTTCGGTCGTACAGAATCACCTGCTATCCGATTGTACGTCGTTGGCCTTGGCCAAACCACATCCGTCACCTTCCTACGATCGGCCCACATTGGCCCAAAGTATTTCCTCATCGTTTTCTCGAAATCTATGCCCAATTTGCAATCGGGTCCCTGGTCCAAGTACCGTTTTCCTAATTAGCCATTCCCTTCCGGTTAGTATCCCGAGAGTGATCAGCTCTGAGCGAGACTTACTAAAGTGAAATGAGAAATAATACTCGTTTTATTGATTCCGGAATTGAGTCGAAATTCGGAATGTTACAAAATATCTCATGTGTTCGAAACTTATCTACTCACAATGAATTTTCTTGTTAGAAAAAACATTGTTTAATTTTCAGAAATGTACTTTGAGGTCACACATGTGTAATTAGTGGTTCTTCATACATGCTAAACGGGTTACTAATACTTGGCAATCGTTATAACTTTAATCTTAAATTGATAAATTTTTAAAAATATTTGTCTATGCATATTTACATTGAATTTAATAAGCGACCGACTTTTCCTGCTAAATTACCTTACATCTACAATGCTTTTACTGTTATGAAGTATTTTAGCCAATCTATTTGGTTAATAGTTAGATAATCAATGTGTTCGTTTTTACAACTCGTAACAACGGCAAGAGAGCGATGACACTGAAAGGATATGCACAATCTTCTAAAGGGTGTTCTTTAATACATGGAATGATTTAATACTTAGTATGGATAAACCTTCCGTACAATGAATAAAGTGCATTTGGACTGACTTTTATTTTATCTGAGATTATACTGTTACTAAACATTAAGCACACATTCAACGTGTTAAAAAAATTTATTATTACCCATTATAGAATACAAAGTCATTCAAAGTTGATCGGAGTTTCATCAATAAATGTTTTGAAAAAAAAAATAGAAAGGAAAGTTATTGAGTGCTTCAACTTCTAAACTAACTGGTTTGGACAAGGTTTCCCGAAGTTCTCTAGAGAAGCTCTCTCTCGTCATGGAGGGAAAGAAATCATAACATTCCAAATTCAATTTGACTAACTCATGTACATGTGCCATTAATTATGGGATCGGATTCTGTTCATTATATACGTGCATGAATAGCCATATTAAGTCCATCGCACAAGTATGTATGGAATCTATCGATGGATCAACTATACAAGAAGCGACTTTTTGATCTCACATATAACTTGAAAAATTCTACATACGAAATTTCTCTGAAAGAAATTTATTACTGAAACTTGTCCTAGAAATTTCTTTAACGAGTTCTATTCAAAAGCAATGATAAACACACAAAAAAGCATGTTGACCCATTATATAAATACGATGCTAAATGTCAGTGATGGAATTTTTTGTAAAAAAATTTCTTGCACTATTTATAAGTGTGATTTGTTCTGAAGTTTACTTTTCCGATAATTCAATAATATCAGCTCAACATCCTACGGGGCATAGCCCACATAGTGCATATTTTGTACGTAATTCGGCTCCATAAATGAGGAGGGTAGTCCAAATTAGCCATGTATTACTGAGTTAGGAACACTTGCAAATTGAAATTGATAGATGGTAACACAATAACTCTTAAACTTTGTCCATTAGTAATTTAAGAGACCTAAGATTTTTTACCTTTCTTTCACATACATTTTCCTTATCTCTCAAAAAAATACAGTCGTCCTAATCTCTCCAGGAACGAAAACAAAATCCTGCCGGTGACAACTCTGGTTAATTTCCGACCAAGGTACCCTGTTTACTCTATGAACTATTATCATGTTCGTCTGATCAACGGTTTTTTTCTCCGTACAGGAGTTCACGTTTTTTTTTTTTTGTGGTAGGCTAGCTGCTGTTCTTTTTCATTGAGTCAATTTACAAGTTCTGTTTTGAATTCCATAAGGACAGTAAAGTTAAGATTTTTGATGGTGGACGCAGTGTACTTTGAGCTCCAGGAGATAAAAAGGGTCACGTCGCTTTTGCTCGCAAGCTTACCAGCAAGAAAAATGGTAATGGTCTTTGAACTCTTAATGAAGCTTTTTCCTTGTGAATTCACTGTTGAATTTCTTATTCCCATTTTATGAATTTTTGGCACTGAGAATTTGCTTGCGGATCGAAGGATCAATGCCATTGATCTTTATTTTCACATTCTGGCTTGAGTATTTTATCGTGTCTATGTATACTTAATCAAGACTTTCAAGTAGTAGGGTAAAGATATGCAGTCAATCTAGTTATGTGATATATATATGCTGAAATGAAATATTTTAAATTGTCTTGTGACACTTAAGCTCACTGTGACATCGTCAAGTTGCGTAAAGCACAAGGTCTATGAGCAATTCTATCCGCAAATCGTGTATATAACGGAGTTTAATTAACCCTGTTGGTTTTAGTCGATCTTCCTGGAAATTTAACTTGCTGGGATTATATCCCATCGCCTGACTTGAGGATAAATAACGGTGATCGAACCAAGTAGGAAATGAATAAAGATCATCGCCTATGATCCTGAGCAATGGCTTTCTCACACTTCTAGATCTGCAGAGATGCCTACGACTTCTTCCGTATGAAACTAGATCGTGAGATTCCTCTTGAAGGCCTATGAGACTTTCTTCAGCTCCTTTATCTTCAGTTGTATGTCCAGGAAGATAAGATAATGGCTTGAACACATATATGAACAAGTACATACAGATCTTTCTCAGGCTTATTCGTATTTTAAAGTATGAAAAATGACAATTTTCTGCTTGCCTCTGATAGTTCGCGTGTCTTGCTGACTTGAGCAAACATTGTATGGAAGCGCGAAGATGAAGGCTAAGCCTAATAGAAATTTATCAACTTATGAAAACTTCCCAATTTTCTACTCCTCTCACAATGAGGATTGATCGAGCCATCCTATCTGATATTTCTAACTACTCCAACTACACATGACATCAGAAAGGATGTCTTCTAGTACTTGATCCTCATCAACAGACTGACAGCAATGGGGAAGTTTTTTAGACTTCCAAACATGATAGATGTTGCCACTCATAGCAGTTGTGAACCAAGTTATCAATATGCTTCGCCTTACGTATTAGCCATAGTGAAGTCTAGTCTTTTGGATCAGCCTTCAATCTCTCATCTTTATACCTGCGCTTCTTTCTCGCATACAAGCTAGGAAAGAATAAGGATTTTGTTAACGGTTTCATTAGGACACTTACTGTGTTTTTGAGAGGCAAGAAGGTTTTTCCCCCTTTTCATGTCCAATTTTATCGTGCTGTGCATATTTGTCGCACTTTGCTAGTTTCAAGTTTCCTGAAATTAGAGACTTGCTATGCATAGTTGGCTTAATTGGCAGCCTAGAACATTTGTTAGCAATACGCCTTTGGGGATTGATCCAAATCGTGCGCCATGTTTCAGAGGCTTTAAGATTGATAAGTTCTGCTGCTATCTCCCTGATGATAGTCATATCCATACTTGCATTAAAGCTCATTGATGATGAGTTAAGTAAGAAACAGGCAAATCTTCTTACATTCAGTTTTTCTCCCAAATAATCTTGGCAATGGTTTAGAAAGAAGATGACAGCTTTCAAGAAACTCTTTAGTAGGATTTCTGGAAGAGAAAATGGCCTTCCGATTCAACATCAAGCCCTGCAATGCAATTAAAAAGAACAAAGTGTTGAAAAGAAAATCAGCAAGCTATCCTAGAGAAAACAAAGATCTCACTTCAACAGTGTCATTCCATTATTTACATATTCCCTAAAATGCAGGTGTGGGTAATGCTAGTACATTGGCATGTTGATGTGCTGTAGCTTATTGATTTTGTGCTGTTGTAGTCCCTATGAATATTAACTACCCGACACTGCATGTATCTTTGTTTAAGCGGACAGTGTGGCTGCTTTGATTATACAACCATAAGCGATATTTTGTTCCATGAAATTGCTATACTTGCCCATATCCTATCATGAGGACCTTATGTCTTTGCGGGAATTTATTTCGTATGCGTGAGTTAAAGTGTATTTCCTTCTGCTAGGGAAAGTACAATTTATTCGTTTGCAGCACTCACTTTTCTTACTTTTAAGATACTTGGACTCCATTTGTGTCAATTAGTCATCTCTCCCCATTAAATAAAACTATTCATTTTTTTTTAGAACTTCAGCCGTGAACCTTTTCCAAGGACAAATGACAACAAATGCAGCAAATATGCTGGACTGAGCTATTATACTCCCAGAATATATAATTCGAAGCGTGCCTATCTGTGGTCAATGGATGTAACTCATCCTGGAATATCGAGCAACAAGAAACAAGCAGTTGAAGCTGCCACCACCAGGCCAGATTTTTTGCAGTGGAGTGTTTATCCATTGGACAATGCCTCTCACTATCATTCAAGTCCAGGCCAAGTTCAAGGTGGACTTGTGTCGGGGCCTTCGCAATTCGTGTACATGGTAGATGTGCCACTAGGTACTGGTGTTAAGAGCATGGGAAGGAAGGATTTCCATGACGCATGTCAAGGTGATGCCTCACTTAATTCTCACAATCTTGGCGAAATGCTAAAGGCAAAAATCAATCATGTTTGTGATTCTGAGAATGTCATGTTTGCACCGATAAGCAACTTTTTGAGAAAGGTCGATGACGGAAGATTGTTGAGGAGCACTAGCTGTAACAAGTACTATGGCACCTTCTTATCTTTGGGAAGTCCGTGTCAGATTAAGGATGGGAATAACACACCATTGGATGTGATTCGCAATGAAGGATTGGACCTGAGTCTCACCTTAGGTAAAAACTACGAGGAGAAGAGAGATATAATTGTTTCAGGCAGAACTGATGAAGGACCTATGGAACATGCATCCAGCATGGCCGTTGCAGATAACAAGGCCATTTTAGACTATCCAAACTATGCTTACTTGTCAAGAGCAACTAGCCAGATGAACACCATCGAGCCGAATGCTCATCAGAATAACATACCGGTGCATGTGATTTGCAATGGTGGATACAATGCGCATCAAACCTTACGTCGCAACAATAAGGAAAAAGGAAATGTTGTTGCTTTTGGAGGAGTTAAGGTCACTACCGTTGATAAGGCGATGCTAAAAAATCAGAGTTCTGCTCAATCGTCATGGGCAACTAGTTGGGTAGGCACAGTTGAACCAAATGCTCATCCTTCTACAGAGAGCAATTCAAATCCAGGAGGTAAGGCAAAAGACCAGAAAGCTTGCAGAGAAAAGAAACAAACGACAGCTAGTGAGCCTCGCCCGAATTTATACCTGTTATCCGTTCATAGTCTATTATCAACCGGAATATTTGACGGGGCTCTTGTGAAGTACATTTGCGAGAGTCGTGATGTAAGTTCTTTCTCGTATGACTATTTTTCAATTCTCTTTAATGATTTTTTCTTTTGATTTTTCAGATTCTTTATTTGATGCTCGACATATTCTGCAGTTAATTCTTCATGGTGTTATAAAAGGGTCAAAGATTCTTTGTAGCTGCAACGAATGCAACAACAATAAAGTAAGCAACTGATTATACTTCAATCTTTTTCTATTTCTGGTTGGTCTTGGAGAGAGTTTGAGGGAAAAACAGAGGGGGACAGTATGAATCGAGGTTTCATAAGGTAACTCATCTGTTACGTTGAACCGTGCAGTACATTGGTCCCTGCAAATTTGAACGCCATGCTGGAGGGAAGACCAAGAGACCAAATAGTCACATCTACTTCGAGAATGGCAAGACCATCTATGAAGTTTTTCATGAGCTGAGGAACACTTCGGAGGACAAACTTTCTGATGCGATTCAGAAAATCGCAGGTTCCGCCGTTAATCAGCTAAACTTACACAATTGGAAATGTCATTCTAATCTTGGACCCCTCCCTAGTGGCCTCTACCCGAAGTAAAATGTCACAATTTGAGGCTCCGTTTATTCGCGGAAAATGAATGATTTGGAAAACATTTTCCTAAAAATGATCGTTTGTATCGCTTGAAATAATTAATCAATCGAAAATGTTTTTATTGTCAACAACAACTTATGTTTAAACATTTTCTTTGATGATGAGAAATTTTTGTTCATTCATTTTTGTAAGCGATACAAGCAATAATTTTTTGAAAAATATTTTCCAAATCATTCATTTTCCACGAAAAAAAATGGAGCATAACTTGTCGTTGTAAGTTCCATATCTTTGCAAGATAGATTGTTTCAGATGCATTTAGCAAGTCATTTTGTTATGTGACGGTCCAAATTATTGGTGAACTTTGCTTGACTTTGGTGAAATAAAAATCTGCTGGTCCAAACTTTGTGCCTCGCCTAACAAGCTTCTACATTCAGAAACTACCGATATCTCAATTAACAACTAAGAAAGTATAAAAAGACATTTTAGAAAATAGTTCTTGTGTAAACTCGGACACTGGGGCTCAACGTCAATTTTTGCTTTTCTTGCGGAGTGCTACATCTGTTGGGACCGTCTTGGAATAAAGGAAAGCCTCAAGCGATTATTTACCCTGCCAAAATAAAAGGGAAAATGACACAAACAGTCCCTGAACTTTGACTCCCTGTGCAATTTGGTCCCTGAACTTTTAATTTGTTCAATGTGGTCCCTGAACTTTAACCTAATGTTCAATTTGGTCCCTGAACTTTTAATTTGTTCAATGTGGTCCCTGAACTTTTAATATGTGTTCAATTTAGTCCCTGAACTATTTGAAAATGTTCAATGTAGTCCTTCCATTAATTCAAGTGTAGGGACTATATTGAACATTTTCATATAGCTCAGGGACCAAATTGAACACATATTAAAAATTCAGGGACCACATTGAACAAATTAAAAGTTCAGGGACCAAATTGAATATTAGGTTAAAGTTCAGGGACTACATTGAACAAATTAAAAGTTCAGGGATCAAATTGCACATTGAGTCAAAGTTCAGGGACTGTTTGTGTCATTATCCCAAACAAAAAGCACAAAGAGAAGAATAGGTTTTGTATTCGAAATGGAGTATCCTCCCAAAAATATTGAAGATAAATTAATTAATTAAGAATCATATCGTCTACTGAGAATTATTATTTCCCAATGCATGTCTTATACGATATCAACCAATCAGTTTGCATTTCAAACACGAGTAAACAAAAGCGAAAGAAATTTTTTTTGATGAAGTACTGTATCGATGTAAACTCAGACATGAATTCGTAAGACCCAATTCAAAGTCCAAACCAAAATATTGAATGACTAGACAAGAAAGAAAATGGGAACATATGTCTAAGTCTCATTTGGCAAAATGTTTGAGCCCCACAACACTCCCAAGCGGTATGAAGTAGACCTGATCATGGATTTGGGTAGAATCTATGCATGATCTCCCAATGATTACCTCCAACGGGACGATAGTCTGGTAAAGAGGTTATTTTGCATCCTCTATACATTCACCAAAAAATAGTAATAACAATAATAGCCAGTGTGACTTCACAAGCCCAATCTGGAGACCGACAAAAGGAAACCACCGTCACCCCCTTGTTGCTTGGATGAGAGTCATGAGATGTCAAAAAATTTCTTTATGAATCTTTATATCAAATCTAATAAACATCCCGCTTTTCCTGTTAAATTATCTTGTATCTTTAAATTTATTACTATTAAAGTATATCAGTCACTCTATTAAATTAGTACTTAAATAATCAATCTGTTTGTTTTTAGAACTCGTGATTACGGCAAGAGAGCAATGTCCATTCACAGATCAATAGAATGATTTAATAATTGGCAATTATGTTATTAATACATAATTCAAAGTCATTCAAAGTTAATGCAGAATTTCATCTATAAATGTTTTTAAAACTTTTTAATAGAAAAGTCATTAAGTACTCCAACTTCTATATAAGCTTCTCATAGATTAATTGTTTTGGACAAGGTTTCCTCAAGTTCTCCAGAGAAGTGCTCTCTCGTCTTCAAGGGAAAGAAATCATAGCACCCCTAATTCAATTTGACGCGAAAATTACCCTCGCAAATACACGGGGAATTAAAAGGTCTCATACTTTTGGTGCAGCTCCCTCGGTCATTATTACGCTCTTTACCTGTTCTCATAATTAAGACTAATCGTGAATAAATCTGGTAGTAATTAAACATAACTCACATGTACGACGAATGATGAAAGGCATTAATTATGGGCTCGGATTCTGTTCCTATATCTGCACACATGATGAAAGGCACATAAGCATACCATCCATAACCCCTCATTTTGTTTTCAGCCATATTTGGACGGCAATCTAGATTGGACTTATCTTTTTTTCAAGAATATACTCCAAATATGTCCATTTGTGCTGATCATAGCTTGCAAAAAAATTCCACATAAAGAATTTCTTTGAAAGAAACTTGTTACTTGAACTCGTTCAAGAAATTTCTTTAACGAGTTCCATTCAAAAACAATGATGTTCACACGAAAATTCAAAAAAAAAATATTGACTCATTGTATCATAGGCTCCCCTTCATATGATGCTAAATGTAATTGATTCAATTAATCATCTGTTGTGTTGTAAAAAAAACAATTGTACGATTCATCTCATGATTCGTTCTGAAATTTACTTTCTCAATAATTCAATAATACCAGCTCGACATCCTACAAGGCATAGCTAAGCAAGTGCACATTTGGTACATAATTTGGCTCCAAGAATGGAGAGAGTAGGCCCCCATAATTAGGAGTGTATTACCAAGTTATGAAGTTTGGGAATGGAAATTGCATAGATGGTAATGCAATAACTCTTAGACCATGCCATTAGCAATTTAAAAGAGTCATACTTGGAACGTGTCTTTCACATACATTTTCTTCATCACAAGAGTACTTGCCCTAATCTCTCTGTCAAGGAAAAAAGAGTCTCGCCGGCAACAACTCCAGTTAAATTCCGGCCAAGGTACCTCACTCTGTGGACCATATCATTTTTATTGCATATGTCTGATTTTTCCTTCCCTTTTTCCAACTTGAGATGTGAAATATCTGGAGTATGCCAACTTGTATGTGTGCGCCAATGCACCCATCTATGGAGACCGAACCTTTGAAAGCTTTGAATTTCCTTACCATCTTCTTGGGCTTCATCTTTCAACGTCACCACAACATGTTTCTCTCCATAATTCAGTTGTTGCATGTTCTATGATTAAGGCTTCAATCTTTGTATGTGTGTGTGCCTTTTTTTTTTCTCGTAGGCTATTGTTGTTCTTTTTCGTTGAGTAGATCTACGTGTTCTATTTGAAATTCCAAAAATGACGGTAAAGTTTTGATTTTTAGGTGGTTGACGCAGTGGAGTTCGAGCTCGAGGAGACAAAAAGGTGACCTTGCTTATACTCGCAAGACTTCCAGGTAAGAAAAATGGTAGTGATCTTTGAACTCTCAGTGAAGATTTTCTCTTGCGAAATTACTCTCGAATTCCGTTATTTTGCAGTTATGAATTTTTTGCGTTGAGAGTCTTCCTTGTGGATCCAAGGTTCTACACTATTGATCTTTCTTTTCCCTTCCGGCTCAACTATTTTAACGTGGCTATGTATATTTAAGATTTTGACGCATTAGGCTCATGATATGCAGTTCATGTAGTTATGTGAAATACTACTGAAATGGAATGCTTGAATTGTCTTGTGACAATTAAGCTTACTATGACGCCGTTGCGTTGCATGACACGTGCCTTGTCTATGAGCAATTTTATCCGTACTTGTAATTAATGTTGTCGGTTTTTTAAAAACTTACTGGAAGTTTCGCTTACTATGGTTTTGTCATCACGTGACTTGAGGGTAGGAAACGGTAGTTCAAACCAAGTCGAAACCGTAAAAAGAAGATCATCTCTGATCCCAAGCAATTGCTTTTGAACATTACTAGATCTGAAGAGATGCCTTTGGCTTCTTCCGCTACGAAACTAAATCTTTAGATTCCTCTTAAAGGCCTATAAGACTTTATTCAGCTCCTTTATCTTATGTGGTATGTCCTAGAATATAAGATTATGTCTTGATCACATTAATAAACAAGTACAGATGCCAATTTTCTGCCTGCCTCTTATAGTTCGTGTGTCTAACTTACTTGAACAGCCACTATATGGAAGCACAATGGTGAAAGCAAAGCCTGCTAGAAATCTATCAACTATGAAAACTTCCCACTTTCTCTTCTTTTCATAATGAGAACTACTCGAATTGTCCGATCCGATGCTTCGCCTCCGGTGTGTTTGTGCACACTCTAGGATGACTAGGGAAGACCAACGTTAATGTTTGTGTTTTTGCACTATCATGAGGGCCTTATGTCAATGCGGCAATTTACATCCTATGCATGAGTTAATGTTTTTCATTCTGCTGGGTAAATTTTACTTTTTCCGTTTGCAGTACTTGGTTCTCTTACTTTTACTATAGTTAGATTCTGTTTGTGTCAATTAGTCATCTGTCCCCACTAAATAAAATTATTCATTTATTTTCTAGACCTTCGAACGTGAGCTTTTTCCAATGACTAAGGACAACAGATGCAACAAATATGCTGAACGGAGCTATTATACTCCAAGAATATATTATCCGAAGCCTGTCTGTCCATTGTTAACGGATGGAACTCATCCCGGAATATCGAGTAACAAGAAACAAGCAGTTGAAGCTGCAATCAACAGGCCAGATTTTATGGCCCGGAGTGTTTATCCATTGGACAAAACCTCCAATTATCCGTTAATTCCTGGCCAAGTTCGAGGTGAACTTGTATCGGGGCCCTCACAATTTCTGTACACGCCTGATTCGTCACTCGGTGCCATTAGTATGAATGTGGGAAGGAAAGATTTCAATAACGCACGCCAAGGTGATGCCTCAGCGCACTCTCACCATCTTCGCCAAATCCTAAAGGGAAAAGTCAATAACGCTCATGATTTTGAAAATGACGTGTCTGCGCCGATAAGCAATTTTTTGAGAAAGGCCGATGAGGGAAGATTGTTGAGGACTGTTGGCTATAACAAGTGCTATGGCACGTTCTTGTCTTTCGGCCATGCACCTCAGATTAAGGATGGGAGCAACACACCCATGGATGTGATTCACAATGAAGGATTGGACCTACATCATACATTAGGTCACAACTACAGGGAAAACATTATTTCCGGCAGAGATGATGAAGAACCTAAACATACGTCTGGCATGGCCATTGCTTATAACAGTGCGATTGTTGACTATCCAATATATGCTCATTCTTCAGGAGCAACTAGCCAGAGGAACATTATTGAGCTGAATGCTCATCAAAATAACATGCCGGTCTATGTGATTCGCAACGGGGGATGCAATGCGCATCGAACCTTTAATGACAACAATAAGCCCCAAGGAAATGTTGTTTTTGGAGGAGTTAAGGTCACTGCCAATGATGAGGCAATGGTAGACAATCTGAGCTCTGCTCAATCTTTGGGGTCAACTAGTCGAGTGGGCACAGTTGAGCCTAATGCCCATCCTTCTTCAGAGAGAAATTCGAATCCAGCAGGCAATGCACAAAAACATAATGATTTCGAAAGAGAGAAGCCAAAGGCGACTGGTGAGCCTTACCCTAATGTATACCTGTTATCTGTCCCTAATTTATTATCAACTGGAATATTTGATGGTGCTCCGGCGAAGTACGTTTTGAAGAGGCGTAATGTAAGTTCGTTCTCGTATAATTTTTTTTTACATCTCTTTAAAGATTTGTTTCTTCTTAAGTTTTACGGTTCTTTATTTAACACTTGACGCATGGAGTACCACAGATAATGCTTCGTGGTGTTATAAAAAGGCGGAAGATTCTTTGTAGCTGCAATCAATGCAACAACTCTAAAGTAAGCAACTGATTGTACTTCCTTTTTTTTTTTCTTTTTCTTTTTCTGTTTGGTCCTGACGTACGGAGGACCGGATGAATGGAATTGCCGTAAAGTAACTCATTTTTTATGTTGAACGGTGCAGTACGTTAGTCCCTACGTATTTGAGCTCCATGCTGGAGGGAGGACGAAGCATCCGTATACTTACATCTACTTGGAGAATGGCAAGACCCTCTACGAAGTTTTTCAGGAGCTGAGGAACACCCCAGAGGATATGCTTTTTGATGCAATTCCTATCGTTGTCGGTTCCGCTTTTAATCGGCCAAATTTTCACCGTTGGAAAGGTCATTCTAATCTCTGACTCCTCTCCAGCGCCCCCTCCCTTCATTAAAATGTCGCACTTCAAGTTGTCGCTTTAATTTGCATATCATTGCCAAATCACGGTTCAGATGCATTTAGCAAGTCATTTAGTTTTGCAACCGTCCAAAAAATGCCAGTCTTGTCTGATTGAATGAAGAAGCGCATCAATCATATTGTTTAAAAATGTCGTCGATTATGTTCCATCAAAATCGACCCATCATAGGATAGGTTGGTGAGGGAAATCAGCCAAAGTAAATGTAAAAACAGAATGTTCACTCCTTTGATTTTTGGCACTAGTAGCATTGCAATTGACAAGCTATATCTTACGGATTTTTACTGTTCTCTCAGCATTATATTCAGCTGTCACCCTGGAGCTTCGGCAAATAATGCAAAGGACCTAATTCCATCAGCTAAGGGACATTAGAAAACTACCTGAAGAAGAATCTTGAGATAGACAGCAGTGCTCGAGGATGCTTGAACTTAATGCTTGCTTTGTACTTTATTGAACTATGTCGTCCAGTTTGAAAATTTTTAGCTTGAGACAATTCATTAAGGGACCTTTCTTCGCCATGAAGGAACAATACCTTTCAGTTGCTGTCAGGTTGAGTCGAGATGTTTCTGTTTTAAGACTTCATTGAACTGCAGGATTCTGACTGCTAGCTTTTGTTCATACTTTGATTGCATTTGTGAATCTGGGTTTGCTTTTGATTGTTTTAACGTGCACATCGGAGAGGGTGTTATATTCTGGTGTACATTAGCCTTTGCACCTAGTTCTGGATATTGTTTCTGGAGTTCTTTGTCAATTGTGGTGATGAGGGCGCTATCTGTTCAGTTTGGGTTCTTTTCTGGAGGCTCCCCAGCGCGAATAAAGGAAGGCTGTACTAGGATATGTTCAGGGGACAAAGAACATGGACAACTCCTGTGATTGAGATTGGAAATTTTAAGTTCTCTGAGGACAAAACAAACGTGGGAATAACATGGTGAAGGGGTTCTATTCTCGAATTTTAAGCCACTGGTTGTGACTACCGTGACATCCCGAATTTCGGCCCATTTTTGGGATTTATAAAACGTGTAATTCGTCAATGTGCTTATAGTAAAATCTTGCCCGGGAACTGATCACTCCCGGTTATTGTTTTAAATTTGAGATTTCGCTAGAATCGCATTCGATCGAATTTTGCCGTTATTTAGAGCCCAAACTTTGATGTCGAATTTCTCGGAGTTTCGGGACGAATTTAATTGGACGGTGTCGATATTATTGTGGCCAGCCTCGATATTACCCGGGATATGTGAAAAGTGAATTTTTGACCGGGTGCAAATTTGAACTAGTAGACCTCTCTTGAAGTAATTTGATTTAATTTGACATTTGTCTCTTATTATATTCTATGATTAATTTGAACCGGTAAATCGCTTTCAATTTTAAATATAGGTCATCGAATCGCAATAATTATTTAAATGGATGTTTATTTTTCTCTCTTTCTCTCTCTCCCCCTCCCTCTTTCTTTCTCTCTCTTCTTCCCCTCTGCCGCGCACGATGGCCCCCCCTGCACGTGTCCCTTCACGCTCATTTCCTCAGACCTTCTCTCTCTCCTCTCTCTTCTTCTCTCTCCTTTCTTCTCTCTCCTTTCTTCTTCTTCTTCCTTCTTCCTCCCGCAACTGCTTCTGCTTCTGCTTTTCCCTGCTCGCCCGACCCATCACTGTCGACCGCCTGAGCTCGCCTGGCCGCCGCGCGCCGCTGCCGTCGCCAGCCAGCTCGACCACCGCGCCGCAACGTCCGCCAGCCGCCGCCACCAACCTGCTGGTCTCTTCCTTCGCGCGCGCAGCAGCGAGCTCGCCACCGCTGCCCGTCGCGCCCGGCACTGTCCAGCCTCGCCTGGTCGTCGCCGCCGTCGTCCTAGCCGCACCGTGCCGCCCCGTCATCGCCGGTTCACCCCCTCTCCCTCAGCCCCAGTCTCTCTCTCTCTCTCTCTCTCTCGCCACCTCCACCCCCGGCTGATCATTTCCCCCCTCAGCCCGTCGCCGCCGTGTTGCCGTCGCCGTCGTCGCCGTCGTCGGTCACTGCCCCGGCCAGCCAGCCCAGCCGTGCCCGGGCTTGCCCAAGCCGTGGCCGGCCCGTTGCCCGCGCATCCTAGCCGCGCGCCCGCTCGCCCGTCCAGCCGGCCCATCGCCCGGCGCGTCGCCCGTCCAACCAGGCGCGTCGCCCGTCCAACTAGGCGCGTCGCCCGTCCGGTCGCCCGTGCGCCCCGGGCACGCCGCTCGGCCACCGCGCCCGCGCACCAGGCACGCCGATCGGCCACCGTGCCCGCGTTGGCCGGCCAGCGCGCCCGTTGGCCCGCGCCCGCGCCTAGTCTGGCACTGTTCACCCGGGCCATTTTAGGCTCGAGCCGATTTTCTCCGGGCCAAACTTAAGTAAGTGACCTCCTAATCCTTATTTAGGACTATGGGTATTTTTAGACTTTTTTTAGGATGTGATTAGTACCGGTTTAAGGGCTAAACGTGGATTATGGTCAATATTCGTATGTGCGTTTTTGTTAAATTAAATTGTGATAATTGTGGGGCTTAATTAGTAGTTAATTATGGTGGGTTAAGTATCCGTATTGTCGTGGCGTGTGTGGGAAATTTACGTGTGATTGTGGCCGGCTTGAATGTTGGAATCGTGAGCTTGTGAATTGGAATTGGGATGATTGTGGGTGCATGTTTGTGGCTATTGTTGGTGGGTCAATGATTGGCTTATCGTGGCATTTGTGAGTGGAATTGATAGCTGAATGTGACCGACTTGAAGGTCGGGTTGGTGGAATATTGTGATGAGCATGCCTTGAGTTCGATTGGTACGACTTGTGTGAATGGCGAATTGTGTGGTGATGCATGTGCATGAGAAAAGCCCGGATTGATCGGAGGGCTGCCAACCTGAGGCGTGATTGCGCGGGTGTAGCGAGAAAGGCATGACCAGACCTGAGGCGCAGGTTACGCGGGTCATTGGAAGGGGAAAAATGTCCTGAGGCGTGGTTACGCGGGACCGAGCCCGGCTTGATCTAAGGGCTGAGCCTGAGGCGCAGTGGCGCGGGTTGTGAGATTGGGCCTGAGGCGCAGTGGCGCGGGCAGTGTGAGAGGACCTGGGAGGTCGTGGAAAGTTGTTCGACCACGCATGCGAGTGGAGTGTGATTGAATTGATTGAACTGATTGGACTGGCTGATTGAATGTGTGATTGAATTGGTTGGATTGATTAAGTGCCAGTGTGGTTAGCGTTTGATTGATTGTGATATGTTATTAAGTTAGTATTATTGTCTTGTCGCGTTTAACTAACGTGCAGAGCATGCGTTTGATGGCGAGGTAAGTACAATGACGTGAATTCTCTGTGTTGAGGGTTAGATTGCTTGTACGACTTGTTTGGGTACGCATTGGCCTACGTGGGGTTTAGGGTGTTGCTTATTGAGACTCGTTCTCACGGTTATTATATAACCACTTTCAGATCCGCGACCGTGATCGATTCGAAGATGCCGCCAGAGTACTACAGGGATTGAAGAATAGATCAAATTTACCCTGTCTTTTGAGTACCCTTTTGTAGAGAAGATAAGCTTGTCAACCACCGCCCCCTTTTGAAAAGCGTGGTTTGAAATTACTAGCCCAGTTTATCGTTCTGTAATAATGACTACTTTATGATGTTTTGGAATTATTGTTTTGCGCTATCCTTTCGTCATCATATTAGTTGTCTGGGTTGTTTTATTTCGCTTCCGCTTGCATAGTTCGTTTCGATCGGCGACGCGTCCTGGGACGTCGCGTTCAATTCGACCATGGACGGGATGTAGCGGGCTTGGTGGGGTCCGGGGCGTGACAACTATATAGCATAGAAGTCCCGGGTAGGCTGTGGAGCATTTCCGTTGGGAGGGAAGAAGAAGAGAGCGAGTAATCGGGTTTGGCAGAGAGTTAGCAAACCCTTTTTTGAGAGTTTCTTATTCTTTTTGCTGTGTGAAAAATGGAATTTGTCCCAGCTAAGATCTTTAGCCCCAGAAGCTGACGCAGATCAGCATAATGATCCCACTTGAAGGGTTTACCGAACTGAAATTTTCTGCTGCTCTGCACAAGAAAGTGGCAAAGTGTATTTCACAGAATTTTGTGATTAGAAGAGAATTCACAAGTGTTCTATCATATCGAGGGGCATAATTACGGGAATCCGTCTGTTAGGATTTGGCAACCGAAACTTTGAAAGGTCACAGAGATATTGAAGGCCATATCTAAGAAATATTGAAAAGCAAATTCAAAGGGTAGTGTTATCTTATTATGGAATGAAAAGATCGTGAAATATTAATGGCATTAAAAATGTTCCAATTTTAATACTTCCTGTAAAATTCCAAATGCATGAATACACACATGACAAAACTGTCCTTACTTTTCAAAAGACCTAAAAAAAAAAACATGAACTTCAAATTTAGGGATACGTGAAGTTGTCCATCCTGGCAAATTGATGACATCGGTTTGGAGCACTAACATTTGGTTTTGGGGGCAAAAAGAATTCGGTTCACTAACCCTGGCTCTTTCAATTTGGGGCTCCTCATTTTTTTCTTTCTCGTTGAAACAAACGAGTTCTTGATTGAAAAAACTAAAATTTAATACAACAAAAAACCTCAAATCGATATATCAAGGGAAAAGTGTCAATTTAGTCCTAAACCTTTTGCATTAGTGCCAATTTAGTCCTAAACCTTTTTTTGGTGCCAAGTCAGTACTAAACCTTTTGGATTGGTGCCAATTTAGTCCTAAACCTTTTTTTGGTGCCAATTAAGTCCTAAACCTTTTAAATTGGTGCCAATTCAGTCCTAAACCTTTTGTTTTTATGCCAATTTAGTCCTTCCGATCAATTTTGAATGGAATTTACCGACGTGGACACCTGTCGGCCGGCGGCCGGTCACCGGCGCCGACGTGGCGCTGACGTGGACAACTTTAATAATATTTTAATATTTTTTTGAATTTTTATTTTTTTTCCTTTTTTTTCTTTTTTTTCCACTTTTT